TGAAGAAGACACTAAAGAAGATGTCTGATGTTTTGGTAAGAGGAGGTGTAGCAGGATGTAGCTCCAGTGACTTTGCAATGGCCAACACATCAGCTCCTCGTCCTCAGCGTGACAGCCAGCAAGAGCGTGCTAAGCGCAACTTTGTGGCCCTTCCATCAGAATCAGGGAACAAATCTCCATCCTTGACATCCTCCGATGATGATTCTGGCGACAATGTGAGTAGCGCACCAATGGATCAGTCCGGTGCACCATACGGCTACTACAATGCGGCTTACAATCCTTATGGTCCTCCTTATGGCTACAGCGCCCCCCAGCCAGGCTATTACATCACATACCCTGACCCAGATGAGTCTGACTCACCCGGTGGAGATACTCCTTCCAACCCCGACAACTAGCGAGGTACTCCATCCATCACCATTGTATATACCGCTTTCATTTCCTGCATTTTATTTCCATTTTCGGTATCTCTCTCTACTTAACAACACAGAGACTGTGTGACTTAAGTTTGGGGGAGGTACCAAGCATTTAATCATGTTTTCTTTGTTGATTTTGAGTCTCATGCATTGCATTGTACATATATAAAAAAAAAAAAAAACTGAAAAATCAAAACAAAAAACAAAAATCATGTAGGTCGCATCATTTGCATTTTTAGGAGAGTCTAGAGCATATAGTTTGCATTCACTTGCATTGGGAACAATGATTTTAAAACACCTTGTAATGAACACTTGTCAAGAGCTCAAAGTGACACCCTAGTTAGACACATCAAGTAGCTTAAACATCTCTTGAAAACCTTGCACGCTTCGAGCCTTGNTTGCTTGCTTTAAATCGACATTGTTCTTAAAACCAGCTCCAATCTGAATTTTGGCTTAATGAACTTAATCTCTCTTGCATATGGGCACTTGCATACTTGATCATGGATCTCATACACATTTGGGTTATCTTATTCCATTTTCACCACTCTTTTGTTAACCCAAATGGTACTCCACACCCTTGAATTGAACCCAAGCCATACTTTTGAGACCAAACATCTAATTTGCATGAGTGAGGCCTTCTTTTGATAGCTTTTCATGTGCAAAATCTTGAGAGTATTGGAGGCGACATAGGTTTGTTCTCATCTCTTGCTAGCATAGAATCTCTTTTGAGCTAGCATCTAGGATGGTGAGTGGGGTTTGTGTGTTTCGAAGCTGATATTTTGGGTTGTGAATGAGGGATTATGAGGAAGTTGAACCAAAGTGCCTTAAGAAAAAGAAAGAAAGCCACTAGGAACCAAACCGAATGAAGAAAAGCTCTAGATCATGTATTAAGTAACCCTTCCCATAAAAAAAAGAGGAAACAAAGAAATAAGTTTGGGGGAGAAGATGTGTAAAGAAGAAGAGTTAGAGCTACCAAATAGAAAGCTTTTGACAAGTCCCTAGTTGGTTGTAATAAAAAAAAAGGAGAGTGATGTGAGAAGAGACTATTTGGGGTATGAGATGAAGAGTAAAAGGGTTAGAAATTGTGATTACTTAGGAAAGGGTCGAATGATGAGAATAAGACTATGTATGCATCAGTTGCCTCTAGTCTTAGATAAATTTTGCATATTGATCAAGCTCCTTATCCTTGAGTGACAGTCACTAAAAAAATGATACATCTGAACCCTCCTTTTCACTCTCATTAGACCTGTTGCTTGCCTAGCCAAATGATTGAGATCATGTGCCCATTTGTGAGACTTCACTTTGTGTGTGTGTGTGTGAACTAATGTGAGCGCTGGTTTAAAGACTTGTAAACTGAAGAGTATTGCATCTTGTTTAAAGGCATAAGAGTGTGTTGATAAGCCTAGAGAAGCTAGAGTGTGATAAGAGAGTGTGTTCATGCTATTTGGAATGTCTCCTTAGGATGTTAAGTTGAATTCTTAGATGTGTTTTTGTCTTGGTTATGAGTTCCCCCCTTCAAGCCTCTCTTCCCATAAGTCCTTGAAAGATCACTTAGTTTTAACCATGCATTCTCATTTAGGTTGATCATATAGATTAGATTTAGGCACCTTTAGGTTGCATATTGCATACATTTGTCTTTATCAGGTCATGGAGCATGCTATGGATTTTCTGGAGGTGTTTGGGGTCGATTACATGCCAAAAGAAGGTGCAAAGGTGTCATTTGGTGAGCCGGAGCAACCACAGCGGAGTCAAGAGGTCGCTGCAAGCAAAACCAGCCAGAGCGGGGTCGTGCAGCGGGTCCGGAGGGTCGCTCCACGTCCACAGCGAAGGTTTGGCAGCGGACGCAAGGGGGTCGCTCGCCTTTGAAGAAGAAAAGAGAGAGCTCACAGCGGGCCTTGGCAGCGGGGTCAGGACCCCGTTGTGAGCTCCGGAGCGGGGTTGTGCAGCGGTGTAGTGACCCCGCTGCGCGTATTCTGTGTGACGAAAAACTTAAGTTTTTGGGACCTTTTTGCAATTTCGTTTTTTATATTCTGAGTTGGAAAAACCTAAGTTTAAATGATTCTGTAAGCCACCATTGGAGATCTATCTTTGTTCTTGACGAAAATACTTGAAAACCTATTGGAAAGTTCATCTTTTAAGATCATTTCATTATTCATTGTTTTTACTTATCTATTTCATCATCTACATGATTAAACTTGAATCTAGAATGGGTTTAAGAGTAATCATGATGTGTAGTGAGTAAATCACCCTTGAATTCATGGGTTAGGGAGACTAAGGATTATTAGTCTAGAATGAGAGTGTTTAGTTTAGATTTCTCCTATTCCTTGCTTGTAGAGTGATCCTAATGCTTCTCTTGAGTTGGCCACTCAAGAGTTGATCTTTAGACATTTCCCACTCACAAAGTGTTCGATGAAATGTCTGAGTCAACTCTCCTAAGCTTTTAACATCCTTTACCAAGGATACTTGTTGTTAAAGGTGTTAAGATGGCCAATTGACTTGTTCCTAATGATTGTGTTCATGATATTCAACCGAAGAAGTTTGATGTTTGAATTGTGTTTGCAAATGAACATTCATCTAGACATAGAGCTTGTTTAGAATTGTGTCTAGGCCTAAGGTAGATAGTTTAATTGATCACTTGCCACTCTTAGTTCGAAAACTGATCATCCAAGGTCAAATTCCCTATACCCATGGATTCTCTCGTCTCTTAATTGTTAAATTTTATTCAGTCATTGCATTCTTTACTCCATTTCAATATTAGTTGTAATTCAAAACCAATCAACCACATGATCGCACTTATATTAAGCTAGTACTTGCATTCTCGGTGCTTTTAAATCTCTCAGAACTGGTTCGACAATCTTTTATACTACATCATTTGTCTTAGGAGCCTTGAAAACTCCTAATATCAATCGGCGAGGAGAAGTAGCGGCGACATCGGCGGCTAGGATTTTGAGATGAGAGGATACGATGAATGAGTTGAGTAGAGATTGTTTGTTTCGTGATCTCAGGTCACAGCTCCAAGGATCCCGCGAACGTTTTTGCCTAAAATCAATACACAAACTTAACACAAAAAATTCAATCGTGAAAGAGAAATCGAGAAAGAGAGATCCTAATTTTTTTATGAAGTGTGGGTTACTGTAACAGAAAGTGCGGAGAATTTGATTGAGACAGTGAAGAGAAATAGTCGGGGAAGCAATTTTGGGCTGTTTAACAAATGCAAACACAGCCAGATGAAAGATCTTTGAACTAAACGTATGACGTGGTGAAAAACTTGTTTTCTATTAGCTAATTTTTCTAGCCTACGTTGACACTCTAAAATCTCAAGATATCTTCCTTTTAATATTGTTAGATATCTTATTTTTAATCTATTTTCTTATTAGATATGTAATAAATGTTTATTATTCTTTATATTTTATTTTAAATAATACATACTACAATGTTTACATCAAAATAATTTCCAATAAATTAATTTACAAATTAATAATTAATACTTTTACAGAGAATTCACAACATAAGTTTATAATTTTTATGTTGAGTACATCAAATATAACTTTTATTATAACTCAATATTAATACTACATCAACAATTAAAAAGTTAAAAATGTTAAACAGTTGTTTGGAAAGTTGTCTAAAACTCAAACAACCAAGGCAATCATTTGATAGCCATTAATTTTCCTCAAAAATATAAAAATTTACAAGATAGATTTTTTTTAAAACCAAGGAGTCACTAAAATAGAATAAAATCTAAATTTATATTATTATATTGTTTTTATAAAATTATCCATTTAAAATAAATATTTATAAAAAGATTTTAATTATATAAAAATTAGATTTTGTGACTACTCTATAAGTAAGCAAATAACAACCAGAAACCAATATGAAAAACTAAAAACCCTAGAAAACTTTCATAACCTTCGAAGCCGCCGTCAATTAAGATGACAATAATATTCTTCTAACCACTCAACAGAAAACAAATCTTCAAAACTATCTTGTCGTAACTCTTAAGAACCGTCGATAGGATATAGTATCGATTGTTTTCCGGTAACAGATCTTCCAACGCTCAATTTGCTAGGTAATCAATCACAAAATCTCCTACTTTTCCGTAAAATTATGGACAAAAAATCTTTCAATGTTCGATTCGCTAAAGTAATCTATCAAAAGATCTTCTACCTTTATGTAAATTTTTTTTAAAAAAAACAAATTGATTGAGCTGTACTTAAGCAAAAACAAAGTTTGAACCAAATTTGAAAAATAGAGAAATGAAAAGGTTGCAGTCAAGCACTCAAAAATCCACAATTCATTCCATGTAAACTGAAGTCCAAAAGCAAGGTCAAAATGTATTTTTTTAATAATATTATTTTATTTGATGTGCGTGTCTTTTTTTTTCATTTCTATGGATCGTTTTTTCATTTTTTCTTTTTGTAACTGTAGTTTTTTCGTTTTACTCCCTTGACCCTTGTCATCATCTTTTTCGTAATCACTAGCATTTTATGTTGAATTTCTAACTTATGCAATCAAAGTATTAGACATTAGCAGTTTTTGATGTTTTTGTGTGTTTCTGGAGAATTTTGCAGTGAACAAAGTTGTGAAATGGGAGCCCTAAAGCAGATGTGGACACGGGAAGAAGAAACAGCTCTTAGAGCTGGAGTACGCAAATATGGAGTAGGAAAATGGGTTTCTATACTCTCAGATCGTAAATATAGCCCAGCGTTGCAGTCTCGCTCAAACGTAGACCTCAAGGTAAAGAAAAAAGACATGAACTTTAAAGAGATAGGTTGAACTTACAATTTGTTTTGGTCTGAAACACTTGACAGGACAAATGGAGAAATTTAGATCTTGGATCTAGGAGGAAGAGGGCTAAGATTGCTTTTCAAAACCAGGATGAGGAAGATTATAATGATACAGCTCTTGCGATTGTGGAGGTGGCTAATGATGGAGAACAAGAGATTCTTCCAGCATCTCCACCTAATGGTGATAATGAAGAACTCTTTACAAGGTATTGATGTTTTCTTTTCTTGTAATCTATGAGATATCTGATGAATCTTGCGGATGTTTTGCATCATGAAGTTTAGAGAGTTACTTTACTTTAGTCTAAGGCCTTATTTGTTTATGTATTTGATGCAACATATAGATGTAGCATCTGATTGCAATGTCTAAATATTGCTTCTAAATGTTGTTTGATTTTACAGTTAGTATTTATTTGTATCTAGATGCAATATCTAGATGTTAAGTTGTTCGTTTTTTGAATTCATAATAACTTTTGAATACTAGAAGTTAAAAAAAAAAACTAAAAAGACATGATTTTTATTCTTAATAATGAAATGATTATAATATTCAAATAAATAATTTGTATTTTTTTGCGGAAAACATAATTTTTGCAGATTTTGATGAAAAATAATAATTTTGTGATTTTAATTTACAATTTTTGGTTTTCGCAGAAAATCATAATTTTTCAATTTTGACGGAATAACATATTTTATAGTTTTAGTGGAGAAAATGTCTTTTCAGTTTTGGCGAGAAAATGTTTTTCCAATTTTGGCGGAAAACACAATTTTCAATTTTGATGGGATGAGAAAATGTGTTTTCGATTTTGGCGAGAACATACATTTTAGGGTTTTGGCGGGAAAATACATATTCGGTTTTCGCTGTAAATTTCAAATTATATTATATAATGATTATAAACTAATCTTACTATTTTTTCTTTGTATTAGGAGTATTTATGTGTTTTGGATTTTGAAATGCAAAATATAGTACCCAAACTCTATTTTTAGCATCTTAAATATCTAGGTATAGATGTTGTATCTAAATGCTGATGCAATAGTGTCTAAATGATCAACATATTAGCATCCAAATACATTGTCTGGATACATAAACGAACATGGCCTAAGTTTCTTGAAGATAGTTTAAAAGATATATTTTTGTAGTGTGGATACATTTATATTGGAGGCTATTACCAGCTTGAACAAACGTTTGGGTCCAAACAAGAAGTCGATCGTGCTTCATGTAGAGGTACTCTTAAGCATTCTATCTATGTTTATCCGTTGAGACATTTATACAAATCATCAGGAACTTAGAGTGGCTGTAAAATTTTCAGGAGAATATGCAACCAGGTAAGAGACGGCTTGTGGCTTCAAGACTTAAGCATTTGGTAAATGTTGGAACAATAATTAGGGTAATAAAAAGACACTTTGATCGAAAACTACTTCTAATAAAATCAATTATTCTCATGAGTTACGTAATGTCTCTCAGAAAAATAACAGATACAAGATTTCTCCAACCTATGCGGCTGCAGAAGCAGAACAAAGCTCTCCTCAACTCTTATTGGAAGGAAACAAGGAGAATGGTGTCGAGAATCATACTAAATCCCAAGTAGATGGAGAAGCATTTAAGATAAACGGCATGACAGAAGAAGAAGCTTCTGCAGCCGTTGCAAAAGCGCTGGCGGAAGCAGAATTTGCAAGGGTAGAAGCTGAAGAAGCGGCTAAAGAGGCAGATAGAGCTGAAGCCGAAGCAGAAGCTATGAAGGATTATGCAGAGGCGGTAATGGAAGTTTGGAAGGATTCGATGCGTTGCCAAAGTGGGTAAGAATTAAGAAATCATTTGATTTGTTCTTCACAAACCGAATGAAGAAGGCGGTGTCGACTAAGTAACTATGTATCTTCTTGTTTTTGTGCAGGTATGGAAGATACATGATGTGAAAGCTTTAATATAACATCACTGTTATGTTTGTTATTTGTCCAAACTCATAAGATTATGCAAAACCTTTTCCATTATTATGTTTATCTATTTCTGTAATAACTTCAGAGGTTTTTCGTAACCCATTTACAAACTAATTTGAAGAGAAATAAGCAAAACCTTTGATTTGATGATACCCTGCTTATTTCTCTTTCTTTGTGATTTGAATTTAAGGTTGAGTTCTTTTTGTTTCTGTGTGTTTACAAAATTGCAAATGTTTAAGAGACGGTGCTTGACCAGAACAGTAGGAGAGACAAACTCTTGGTTCACACGGAAAATTGTCTTCAACCATTATCAACAAAGCACACAAGTCAAGAATATTAAGAAGATCAAGAAGAGAGAACATACGTTCTTTGGTAAAGTTTAGTTTTTTTTTTCTTTTGAATGCTTTAGGAGCCAATCAATGACCTGATCAATGTTTGGTTGAGTTCTTGCATGATATCACCTCACCTATGAAGCCAATTTAGAAAAGCTTTCCATAAACCTATTGATGAAGAGCTCAAAAAACTCCGACAGAGATTTGGAAACAGTTACAAAAATCAGATTTTTCTACTGGTTTGAGGGTAAAAGAAGAAGCTTCTTTTCCTCCTCCGTAGCTTTCTAATGATCCTTGCAAGTTCAAAAGAGTCAAAGCAACGACCGCTTAAAATTTCTTGTAATAATCAACGGTGCTGATCGTGTAATTTTTTTTTTTTGTCAACGTGTAATTTGTTTATTTATCGGCTTTTTCGTTTGATAGACCGAACATTTTAATTTTTTTTTTCATCAACATTATACTTTGTTTATATATTGTTTAAATTTTAATTTGCCAATCAGACAGGAGATACAGTAACACATACACCAGATGTTCGGAAGTAGAATGGATAAAGGGGCAATTTGCCAATATTCATAACAAATTCAAATATGAAGAATATAGCCATATTCAATGTGATGTGATAATTAGCACCGAATCTAGATAGTTTTCTCTTTTCACACGCTTGTACATCTTTAAGAGGTGTGTGAATAATTTTACCTTACCACTCTAATACTAATAGTTATATAAAAACGCTACGTGACATATGAGAGGATGACAACTAGAGAACAAGATACTACTACGTGACATATGAGAGGATGACAACTAGAGAACAAGATACTATAATACATATAAAGTAGTATAGACATTGAAAAAGCGAAAAACAACATAAATTTATGTGTAGTGGGAGTTTCAAAGTGGATTCCAATAACGGAAATTAGAGGCAAAACAAATGTTGTAAAAATATAACAAACCACAGCACAAGGCAACTACATTCAGTCGGTTGCAAAATTACTCTGGCATGTTGGTAGACAAAAAAAGTATGTGGGTTGTTGGTACGTGAAACAGAGAATACAATATAGTAAATGTATTGGAACATCCAAAATTACAGCACATGTATTACAACAGTATAAATAATACTATACAGACACATAGAGTGCAATGTTCAAGTTCCATTGAGACAAAACATTACACCATGAACTCAAAAGGTTGTCAATCCAAACCGATATACTATCTAATTCAGTACATAGTATAGTTAACAATAGTGCGAATGATACATCACTTTAGCAAGTAATGAAAATGTTTCGAAATAGGCTGGCGTAACTGCATATACGTGTCTTATACAAGCACAACCAGAATGTATGGAAAGGGTTTAGGACTTACTATAGTACATGTTGAAAAGTATAGGGCACACATAACCAGTCAAGGGCTCCATCGAGAATAACAGCCGAAAAGGTACCCCAATGGTGACAGCAGAGGAACTACATAAAGTTCAAGGGTAAAGATCCGGTGAGACGCAACATTACAACATGAACTCAATAGGTGGGAGTCCAAACAGACTATACTATTGGTAGCATTTCATAGTATAGTTAACAACAATATGAATGGTCGAGCACTTCTCCTTCGACGCATCAGATAGTGCCTCTTTTATCACCTCCACCCTTCTCAAATTGAAGTAGTTGTTTATTCTCTTCCGACCGGTTGTTATAAACCCCGTCTCAAACAAGTGCTCCGGTAAGCCAAACTCCTCCATAATCTACATAGAAAGTAAAGAATTAACAACCATACTGTAATGGATAAAAGAAACAAACAAGTAAATGACAACAAACTTTCCAAACTGGTTACACTTCTATACACATTTGTACAATACTAAACTCGTTTTTCAATAGTATAGTCGGCTAGGTTGCATAGAATACTGCATACCCTTCAATTTGGTTCTATACTATAAAGAATTTTCTATATCCTAGTGAATATCCTCTTTAAATTGAAGCCGCGAACATACAAAACCGACATACATCTAGTAACACAATTCTCCAATGGTCTATACTATAAACACATATCTATAGACAACTTATTATCCTCTATACACATATATACACATCTATACATATTACCACATTGACTAACATCTATACACATCTAAACATGCTAACACCTATATACTATACTAGTTTCCAATAGTATAGTTTCTATACTAGAAACACAGATCTATAGTCTCATCAATATCCTATTCAAATTGAAGCCGGGAACATAGGAAACCGAGATGCAACTACTAACGTTATTCTCCAACGCTCTATAGTATAAACACATCATTTATTCCGAAAACAGCAATATACACTTTCAACATCTATACTATATACAGTCCCACATAGTATAGTCATGGCGTACAGAGTATAATGTTTTTAGTCTACCAACCTTTTTCAATTGGCAGTTTAGAAGACATACCAAGGAATTTACATAGTTTACTTTTAAATGTGATAACCAAAAGGTATATTCCTACACTATAAACTTGATACTAATAGTACATATCATTCTACAAGACTATAAACACAGATGTATAGGCTACTGGGTATATTCATTACATCATTTGTTCTCCCAGCCAGGAAGCGACAATCTGGGTTCTTCAAATTGATGTCAGGGTAGAAGATTAAACAATTAAACTACTTTATCTAACCCGGTCACCGTGCTTACCAAAGTATATTCCTATACTATTAACAAGTTAAAATAGAACTCACGCCGCATACAACATTCTATACTGTAAACAACATATATAGTTTACTCATTATCTTCATCACAACAATTTTTTTAAAGAACCAGGAAGCGAGAAACTGGGTTCTTCAAATCGCTCCTGGGAACACTGAAAAGATTATGCATCTACAAAATAACTCATCACAAACAAGATTTTGCATCGGTTATCCACATATCTGCTCTCCGTTCACTATGATTGAGGAACCTCTGAATCTGAAAAAAAACTATATTGGATTACAGTTCACCGGGATGGCGGCATCGCCGGTGAGAGCGAGTAATAATGAAACCTAATACAGAGTTTACCTTTCACAAGTCAATTGTACTTTTTCTGGCTGGTAACCTCGTAGTCTTAATTTATATAAATTGTAACTCTAATTTTGCCGAATCGAACGTATTCCCCTCTTCGAAGAACCGCTGTTTCTTATGTTCGCTTTTTATGTATCAAACTAGTAGAACTAAGGGGGAACGAAACCAGTGTTAACAAAAACAGAGCAATGTATATCGAGTTTGCTTGGATTTTGTAAGCGGAAAAAGGGTGAAGCTTTGTAATGGGGATGGAGAGTGAGAGCGCCGATCCATTTCTATGTGTAGGGTAAGGGTAGTTTTGCCATTAAGTTGAACAATATGTAACATATTGTAACCATGGCTTTGGTATGGTTATGGGCTTAATAAAATTTGTGCAATGGTTATGAGTCCAAATTTCCCATGGATAAATCACCTAAACTACTAGGGTTTAGCCCACCATCTCCAAGTGTATTTTGCTATTTTCACATCTAAAATAGAGAAACTCTATAATAAAAGTGAGATTTGCTCTAATATATTCTTCTAAAATAACAATCTTTAAATAGAAAATAAAAACTAATGAAATATTATTTTTTCCTCTAAAAATAGGGAAAAAAATAAAATTTGTATTATAGAAGAAGAACTAAAAGTGGGTTAGAGTAAGTTTATCTTAAAATCTTATCATAAAGGTAAAAATGTCAAGGAATTTGAGATGTTCTTAGATCAACCCCAATAAGATTTCATAAAGGAAAAAAAAAAACGTTTGGTCTCTCGAGTTTGACACCATAAATAACTGCATTTTAGTGAAACTAGAGACTTTTTCCGGGTTACACCCGGTTTTTTTCCCTATATATATATAATTTTTTAGTTTAATATAGAGTACATTCGAGTACATATTCTACGGTTAGACTAAATAATCTATATAAATTACTTACAAAATTGAAATTTTTTGTATTTTTTTTGGTGACTAAAATTATAAAATTTTTAAAAACCAATATATTTCCTAATGTCGTTAAGGAGATGCACGTTCTTGTGAAGAAAATTTTCTTATTACTAAATTGAGATGGAGAATGATTGGGTGACTTTTTTGGTTTTTCCTTGTTTTGGTTTTCTTCCTGGATTTCAAAAGAACAGTGTGGAACTCTGAACTTTGCTTTCATGCATTTTGCAAATTATTAGTTAAAAGAGGTGCCTGATATGAACCTAAATGTTGAGATAAAGAGTTATGTGTGAGTAGCATATAGTCATATGAATACTATCATAACATATTATGGTAGGTAAACTCTATAGTAGAAATGAATATTAAGTGCAAAATTATCATTGTCTTGATAATTATATGATATCAGTTTACAAATAAAAAAGAGAGTAATTTTGAAGAAACATGCACTCACCAAAGGGCAAAGGATCGTTTGAAATCTTGGTAATTAGAAACTACCGTTTATAAGAGCTCAATTAAAATAGATAAACTGTTTTGAAAGGGAAAAAATCTGATAGATGCAAACTGTAAGGAAACTGTGAGTCAATACTTAAACTGAAAAACAACGACTTAAACTGAAATGAAGCATGCAATCCCTGGTGAGATGAGTGAAAACTTTAATTCCCAGGTTTAGGGCGTTTAGCTTTCTCTGGCTCAACACTGTCAAAAGACCTTTTAACCTCATCATCTGCAGAATCTCCAACGCTTCTTGAAGGTCCGCACACTTCATTTGCAGACAGCAAGGTTTCATCGGAAGCTAGAGCAGTGGAATTTTCATCTGAGGATGTTAGAGATGGAGGAGCTTCTTTAGGGAGGATTTTTGTGACAGTTATAGCTCGAGTCTTTCCTGTGAAATTGGCCTCTGAAACTTTCACAATGAGCTTATGGGTTTGTCCAATGGTATTAATTAAAGCTTCTGGGACAGGCACTACATGGTCAACTCCTTTGTCTTCCTTAGCCTACCATTCAAGTAAAACAATTTGAGATTAAATAACTTGAGGCTGACGTATAGGCTGATGATAAAGTTGCCTCGTAATAGCTTGCAACTAATTCTGATGCATGCTTCCCAGTCAACTGTAGACCAGCATCACCAAGTAGAACAAAAACAGCCTGCTCACTATTGTCATATACGGAGATCTTCATACGATACCTGTTAGGAAGGAGAATCAGAAGCCAATACCAGGGAAACCATAATTGAACATTGTGGCTAGAGCCCATACTGTGCAAAACCAGCTATGTTATCCTTCCCACATTTTGAGCACATCAGGGAGTTAGGGCCTTTGGTAGCCTTAGTGTGGCACAAACCACAGGAAATATAATACCAAGGCAATCCATGGACAACATTATCAATCGTTGCTGTGCATTCAAAAAAACCATCATGCGATAGGGTATAAGCTAGTGATCTTCTTTACGCATTAACTAATGACTGAGAAATATGTGGTTTCACTTGTACCTTCGCATTCTCTTGCTTGATATAGGAGCATATTTCTCCTAAAGTCAGTGTCTTAGTCTTAGTGGCGACCTCTTCATTAACCATCTTAGCAACCTTTGGGTTAGAGCCCAACCTGAGACAAAGTATAAACAATAACTTTATTCAGTGTCATTGCATCAGGGCTACATGTGTGTATCACTTGAAATCATCAAAGAAATAATGGTGAATAATAAAATGCTAACCAGTTGAAAAAGTCAATGGTAGGTTTGACATCATAGTCCATAAAAATCCGTAAGGATGACATAGAGGTTAGGGAAAGAGTGCCTGTGAAAAATTCACGAAGTGAAGATATTTAGCAGATCATAAGTCTTGTGCTTGCAATGTATAAATTCCACAGGAAAATAACCAACCAATGACAAACAACCTAAAAACGACTACATGACATCACAAATAGTAACATATACGTTTTGGAATGGCGAATAAAAGAGTATCACATAAAAAAATGAAAAACTATCTGGAATCTAGGTGTTCATGTGAAATTTTTTGGTGATAAAATGGTAACCTCCAAGATGTTTTGGGTAGACAGTGGTGACTAAAAGCACAGTGGGAGTGTTTTCAGATGAGTTAAATTTCTTGCTGAAGTCTGTTGCAGCCTTGTCCGAAAGGTAGAGCTTCATCAAAGGTCTCCTGCAAAAGATTAAGAAGGACCTGGTAAGAGAAGTCCAGGGAGGTGGTGACTAAAAAATAAGAAACACATACTCATGTGATTGCACATGAACCGAAACACGCTGTGTCGTTGCTATTTCCACATCGTCAAGTATGGGACAGTCAATAAGAGTCTGTCCATTGACCACCTTCATATGGCTAACCACATCTATTACATTGTTAAGAAAGAGTATAAGTGTGATGGGCAAAGAATGAAAAGTGTGATATCTTATCACTAATTGAAATCAAAACACGCATTCACCTAACGTAGACAACAAATCCAATTGCAACTAATCTACGCTTTGATGATGAACAGAAGCCATTTTCACAATAAGTTAAAATATATTAAATTTCAAGCGGTGTATTAAATATCTTTATAAGAAATCTACTTACAAAATTGGACTTATTATTTTATCCAACAGAGACTCGAGATCTTTTTACTGAATAAATAACCTTTTCTCAGTTGAGGAGCGATCATAAACACACAACATCCATTACTTTGACTTTAAAAATGACTTAAAATAGTATAAAAAAGAAACCAACTTATGATTTTATCCCACAAAGATTTGTGATCTGTTTACTAAACAAGGTGATTTTTTCAATTTAGGAGCAATCAGAAACACAACATCCAATCCTAAAACATTATAACTCAGACATGGTCTATAATATTAGAGTTCTTACTATAGAGGTCACCTTTGCTTGAGTTTAATCAAAGCACTTCCTCCGGTTTTGGTTTGTATCAAGAAAATAAAGAACAGTATATAAAGAATGAGAAAGAATGGGAGGTGAAAGGAAACCATCAAAAAGGGATTAAAGCTTAGGATTGATTACAGAGGAGGATAGGTGATGGAGAGCCGAGGAATATGAAGTTGAAAATGCTATCATTTTTTTTGTAACACTTTTTTTGTAGAACTCCACATGTAGAACACTTCTACAATTCTCTTGATTTACTTGCATTAGATAACCTAACACATGTAGAAACTATCATATATCTGGGAGGATGAAGATGTTTTAGGTTATCTAATGCAAGTAAATCAAGAGAATTGTAGAAGTGTTCTACATGTGGAGTTCTACAAAACGGATGATGACACTGATTTCTATGGTGGTGTATCAGATAGAGAGGCTACTAAAAGAGAAGCTATGGATACAAAAGCTATTGATACAGAGGCTACTGAGACTGAGGGTGGTGATGAAGATGGTACTGAGAAGGAAGCAACTGATAATGAAGGTACTGGTGGCATGCTCACACTTTACGAAGACATTGAGATGCATGAAAATGTCACAGAAAGAGAAGCAGGACCCTCAATTGAAGTCGCAGTTGTCTATAAGGAGTGGGATGATGGTATGGATTTGGTTTTAGGTCAAGAATTTAGAACCAAGGAGGAAGCGAAAACTCATATTCAGATGGCTTCACATCTGAAGTGTTTTGAGTATAAGGTAAATCAGTCGGATACTAAGAGATATGTGATAAAATGTCGAGGATCCAAAGAAGGCTGCAAGTGGTTTGTGCGTGTTGCAAAGTTAACGAATTCAGATATTTGGTCAGTTAAAAGTTACATCAAGCAGCATAGATGTTCTATTGTTACCACAAGAACACTGCCTAATAGAAGGAGAGGCACACCACTAATTGTTGCATCTGTTCTGGCCCAAGATTATCCCGGCCGTTTTGACACACCACGTCCCAATGCTCTGATCGATTTGGTTCATCACAGGGTTACTGTTTATGTGTCATACACAACAGCATATAGAAGAAGAATATCTGCTAATAAAGTGTGTGGAACTCCTGAAGAGAGTTATACATTATTATATTGTTATATGCACATGCTGGAGCAGATAAATCCTGACACAGTAACTCATGTGGTTGTGGATGAGGGAAAAAGATTTAAGTATCTGTTTTGGGCTTTGGGAGCTAGCATACAAGGGTTCCGAGCAATGAGAAAAGTCCTCATTGTGGATGCAACGCACCTGAAGACTGTTTATGGTGGAGTGTTACTTGTTGCGACTGCTCAGGATCCCGATCATCACCACTACCCAATTGCGTTTGGTGTTGCAGGTGGTGAGACCTTTGAGAGTTGGTTCTGGTTTATGGAACAGTTGAAATCAGTGATATCTGATGTTCTTAGATTGGTGTTTCTTTCGGACAGTAACAAAGGCTTGATCAAGGCAGTGCGTCTAGTGTTCCCTCAGGCCGCTCATGGGTATTGTATATGGCATTTGTCTCAAAATGTTAAAGGCTACGTCCGTAACAAAATGACTACATGTGCATTTAAGTTTATGGAGTGCGCACACGCTTATACATGGCTGAGTTCTTGGACCTTTATGATGCTTTTTGCAGGAAGTATCCTAATGCAGCGAGTATCTTGACACTACTTGTGAACAAAAAAAATGGGCTAGGTGTTACTTTGAAGGAGATAGGTACAATGTTGACACCACCAATTCAGCAGAATCTTTTAACAGTGTTATTAAGGACTCAAGAAAGTTCACCTTACTTCCAATGTTTGATTTTATCATTAAAAAAAATTCTGAATGGTTTAACAAGCACAGGAAGGAAGCCGCTGAAATACCACCCGCACTAAAGCTTGTACCTATTTTGGAGACGGAAATGTCTAAAAGATGTGTTGAGGCAGGGTTTCTTACGGTTGACGAGTTAAATAGCTACCATCTCGAGTACAATGTGCATGGTAGTGATGGGAAGCATTATACCGTGGACATGGCTATGAAGACATGCACCTGTGAGAAATTTGATAAAGACAAATACCCATGTGTTCATGCAGTAGCTGCTGCAACATTCATGACTGATAAAGCGGGAAAGGAACTCCATCTATCTGAATATTGTTCTAAGTACTATTTGGTGGAGCAATGGGCTTTGGATTATCACAAAACAATATATCATGTTCCTCATATGTCTGATTGGATTATACCAGAAGAAGTTAGAGCAAAGAAAATACTTCCTCCAGAATTTGAAGTCAAGAAAGGAAAACCACAACAAAAAAGGTTTCCATCAGCAGGAGAATCTCGTGGAAGAGGAAAAGAGGTAGAGGGACTGGAAGAGGGAGAGCCACATGCACAGGGAGAGCCAGAGGAGGAGGTATGGCAGCGTATTTTGAATGTGGAATTGGTTCAGGTTCAGGGGTTTGACTGTTGAAAGTTGTTTCATTGTGTTATTCGGATTACTAGTATTATTATGTGGTTTTCAAACTACTAGGATTACTGGAGTTACTATGTGTAGTCCACATATTGAATACTTGGATAACTGGTACTACTATGTGTTATTTGAGCTACTAAGATTACTGGAATTACTATATGTGATTTGGACTACATATATATTAGTCGGAAAATTTTATATTTAGTATGTAGAATTGATATATATTTAATGATTATTATCAATTCGTAAAAAAGTTACTTAATAAATATATAGTAAGAGTATTTTTGTATGATTATTTTAGAAGTTAAAAAAAAAAACAATTTCAATTTCTAAAATCCCTCTCTTAACTTTCATTGTTAGTGTATGAATGGTTAGGCCATAGTAATGAAAATCTAAAAAAATACGTATTTCTGAAAAATATTTGATGAAAATATCTTATTTAATGATAATCATAATTCAAAAGCATCGGTTTTACTACAAAAAAGCACATTTTCTCATGGTTTTACTAGATAAACTTAAAATTTCCCAAAATATTACTATGTGTAAAGTAGTATTACTAAGTCCTTGAAGCTTACCAAGAATTACTAAGTGTAATCAAAATATAATATCAAAATATATGAAGGCTGCACGTTTTATATGTGCACGTTTTATATGTGCACTTTTTATCCATTCACGTTTTACATGTGATTTGTATTTTACATGTAAACAATTTTTAATTATTTTGTCCATTGGAGTATGTTTCCAAATTTTTGAAGTATTTTTCCAATTTTTTTAGTAGAGTTTCCCCTGTAATATAACGTTTTACCACACCTGTTTTCTAAAAACATACCACATAACATCCTAACAAGTTCAAAAGAAGCCATAAACATAACATCCTAACAAGTTCAAGAGAAGCATTTTAGGCAGAAACATAACATCCTAACTTGAATAATACAGACATAACATAAACATTTTTTAGACCTTTGTTTTAAGCTTTTTCTTTGGCACTTCTACCTCATCAGTCTTTCCTTCAATGAAAAGAGACTGCACCCACCGTGATGGTTCACCTTTTATTTTTCCAACAGTGGTGTACATGGCTTCAATGTAGCAGCAGTATTCTTTGGTCTGCCTTTTTTCTTAGGTGCAGCTTCAGCTTTTTTTTTTGCTACTCTTTCTAAGCTTGTAATCCCACCCTTCACT